GCCGTCGAATGAGGAAAAAAGCCGTTGGGCTCGGGGAAGTGGCCGGCATGGCCTTAACGATGGGCCCCCACACTGTCGGGACGTGATTGCAAGCAGCCCTCGTTACTACAAAATTATCTATAACTGGCGGCTCAAAAACCGACAAAAAACGTATATTAATGATGGATTTTAAGCAAAATTCGGCAGAAAATGAATGCAGTGGCGGATATAATAAGCGATAGAATTGCTAGCGTCAGGAAATGAATTTTCGGACAGAAAATACTCTAAAACCGACAGAAATTGTGTCGGATATAACCAATAGAGAATAAATTAATAAAGAATAAATAATAGCATTTTCTGTCGGATAAGATCGACAGAAAATATACAAAACCGCCAGCATTTATGTCGGTTATAACCGACAGGAAATATATTAATAATAAATAAGACTATCCTCTGTCGGATAAAATCGACAGCAAATAGATTAATAATAAAAAAAATATAAAAAGGTCTTGACGGCATTATCCCTTCTCCTTCTCCTTCTCGTTGAAAGTGAAAGTGACTACTCCTTGTCTGTCCTAATTTTTAATCTTGTATTCCTTGGAGCGGTTCTAATTCTTCTATGGTAAACTCTGTTTTACATTTTCTTCTTCGTATTCTTCTTCTGGTGGTGGTGGTGTTGCTCCTGCTGTTGATGATGATGATGCCCCAACTCTTCAAGAAAAGTATGATGTGTTTATTAGTTTCAGAGGTGAAGACACCTGCCCTACTTTTACTAGCCATCTTCATGCTGCTTTACTGCGCAAGAAAATTGATGCATACATAGATTACAGACTTTCGATCAAGAAGTCAAGGCTTTCGATCATCATTTTCTCCAAAAACTATGGGTCTTCCACATGGTGTTCGATTGAAATGACCCAACATGCTTGAACCAGATTTTGCAGCTGCAAACCAGATTGAGCTAATAAGGTATACCATATTCTTCACTTCTTACAGTTCATCCTGAAAATACAAAGCAATGAGGATCAAATTGGTTGACCATCTCCGACCAATGATTGATGGAATGGCGAAGAGTATGATTTGGCACCATGGATGGATCGTGAAGCTTTTGCATTGTGACAGTTAATGAGAGATTACCTGAGGACAGCCATTTTTCGATGCTCGACTTGTCGTAGGTTTGGCCTGTGTAGAGAGTGACTGAATCTTTGAACAAGTCCACACTGATTGGGCATTTGAACGGATGGGGAATTCTCATTTCTTTAACTTGTTCTTTCATATATGGACAATGGATGAAAACCCAACTCAAACAAATTTACAAATGCGTGTGTGTGGGTGAGGGGTTGGAAGGGGGGGAAGAATAACATGAATTAAATCATAGGTGGAAGCATGTGGAAGGACTTACATCGCTTTGCTTGTCTCTATGCTCAAGGGCTTGGATAGCTTCTGCCTTGTTCATCCATGGTGATTGAACCGAGAAGGAGAAGGAAGTGAGGAGAAGAGAAAATGGGGAAGGGAGAAGCACCGGCGCAAGGAAAGAGATGGAGGGGTTTTATTTTGGAATATTGTCATTATTGTCGGTTAAAACCGACAGAAACATCTTTTTTATTAAAAACAGACAGAAAAGTTTCATTACTGTCGGTTTTAACCGATAGAAATAAAATCGCGGCAAAATTCCCTCCGAAAATTTTAAATTCCCCCCAAAATGGATTTTGAATTCCCCCAAAATTTGTTTTACGATTTTAAAAAATAAAATAATAATTGTTTGGTTTAATAAATAAATAAATAAAATGTATTTAAATAGAAAACATTTTTAAAAATTAAATAAATAATTGTTTGGTTTAATAGATAATTTTTACACCTTTGGTTTAATAGATAATAATCCATGTAAAATATACGATAAAGAAACAAAAAGAGAATTGTACAATGAAAATGTCATCACACAAACTAAATATTGTCTAATCAATACTTGAAAAACATAAATAAAAATTTAGCACAAATTACTTTTCCCACTACAAAATTTAGGCAAATTTAACGGAGATATGTATTCTACGAAACTAGTTTCAATGATCTAACCGTCAAACTTGTTTATAGATACTACAAGATCGCATACGTAAAAAATCGCAAAAAAAAAAAATTCAGAGATTAGGTAACAGAACAAAAGTTTTCGATGGTTATAAACGAAAAATCACAATTTAACGGTTATTTTAGCTCCGATTTTAATGATTTTTTTACAGCAACACTCCTCAACCCTATAAAAATGCAATGAATAAATTTGATCTTCAATTTAAAATATTTACACTAGTGGATACCACAAAATCTTATTTTATACTTAATGGAAGTATAATATTAACTCTAAGTGTTTGTTTAATCTATCATTTTGACGCCATATGCATTCTACGAAACTTTTTTCAACGATAAAACCGTCAAACTTATTTGTACACACTTCGAGATTGTATACGTAAAAAATCATAAAAAACAAACATTCATAGATTAGGTAACAAAACAAAGTTTTTGACGGTTATAAAGGAAAAATCACAATTTAACGGCTATTTTAGCTCCGATTTTAATGATTTTTTACAGCGACACTCCTTGACCCTACAAGAATGCAATGAATAAATTTGATCTTCAATTTAAAATATTTACACTAGTGGATACCACAAAATCTTATTTTATACCTAATGGAAGTATAATATTAACTCTAAGTGTTTATTTAATTTACCGTTTTGACGCAATATGCATCCTACGAAACTTTTTTCAACGATCCAACCTTCAAACTTATTTGTACACACTCCGAGATCGCATACGTAAAAAAAAAAAAAAAAAAAAAAATTAACATTAAGAGATTAGGTAACATAACAAAAGTTTTTGACGGTTATAAACGAAAAATCACAATTTAACGGTTATTTTAGCTCCGATTTTGATGATTTTTATAGCTACACTCCTCGACCCTATAAGAATGCATTGAACAAATTCGATCTTCAATTTAAAATATTTACACTAGTGGATACCACAAAATCATATTTTATACTTAATGGAAGTATAATATTAACTTTAAGTGTTTGTTTAATCTAGTTTTTGACGCGATATGCATTCTACGAATTTTTTTTTCAACAATCCAACCGTCAAACTTATTTGTACACACTCCGAGATTGCATACGTAAAAAATCATAAAAAAACAAACATTCATTGATTAGGTAACAAAACAAAAATTTTCGACGGTTATAAACGAAAAATCACAATTTAACGGTTATTTTAGCTCCGATTTTAATGATTTTTTACAGCAACAATCCTCAACCCTATAAGAATGCAATGAATAAATTTGATCTTCAATTAAAAATATTTACACTAGTGGATACCACAAAATCTTATTTTATACTTAATGGAAGTATAATATTAACTCTTAAGTGTTTGTGTAATCTACCGTTTTGACGCAATATGCATCCTACGAAACTTTTTTCAATGATCCAACCGTCAAACTTATTTGTACACACTCCAAGATTGCATACGTAAAAAATCACAAAAAATTAACATTCAGAGATTAGGTAACATAACAAAAGTTTTTGACGGTTATAAACGAAAAATCACAATTTAACGCTTATTTTAGTTCCGATCTTGATGATTTTTTACAGCTACACTCTTCGACCCTATAAGAATGCATTGAATGAATTTGATCTTCAATTTAAAATATTTACACTAGTGGATACCATAAAATCTTATTTTATACTTAATGGAAGTATAATATTAACTCTAAGTGTTTGTTTAATCTAGTTTTTAACACGATATGCATTCTACGAATTTTTTTTTTCAACAATCTAACCGTCAAACTTATTTGTACACACTCCAAGATTGCATACGTAAAAAATCATAAAAAGCAAACATTCATAGATTAGGTAACAAAACAAAAGTTTTCGACAGTTATAAACGAAAAATCACAATTTAACGGTTATTTTAGCTCCGATTTTAATGATTTTTTACAGCAAACACTCATCGACCCTATAAGAATGCAATGAATAAATTTGATATTCAATTTAAAATATTTATACTAGTGGATACGACAAAATCTTATTTTATACTTAATGGAAGTATAATATTAACTCTAAGTGTTTGTTTAATCTACCGTTTTGATGTAATATGCATCCTACAAAACTTTTTTCAACGATCCAACCGTCAAACTTATTTGGCCCAGCTCAAGCATTTGGCTTTTAGCCCAATGTTTTAGCTTGGGTTGGGTGGTGTTTGGGGGGAAATTTTGGGTGGAAATTTATCAAATACCCTAGGTTTGGAGAAGGTCTAAGGACTCATACCGTACACTGCTCACTCTTGTTTTAATTTATCCTTACTGTTTTACAAACCACCTTCACTTTATGGCTTCGTCACCCTTCGGATATTGCTAGCATGCCTTGATTTTGTTATCCATGTGGATACTTGGGTCAGGATGTGTCAATTGTGGGTTGACCTAAGAAAATTCCTCAAAAACTTGATTGGCGGATCAAGGGTAATGAAGTGAAGTTTGCAAATAGGAAGTGTAAGCTTTGGGACTCAAGGATTTTGCTTTGCTTAAGTCAGTGACTTGCACTTTGTACGGAGATCATTTGCAGTCTAATTGTTGGTTTTGCAGTTCTTGCTGTACGAAGGATAGTTGATTTCTTTATATAGGGTGGCTCGCATGACCACAAGACCATGAATCGTTGAAGAAAATACACAATTTTTATGTCAGTGTGTGTTTGGTTCTTTTTGTTTTCTTAAGTTTAATTAAGTATTGGCGTAGTTATCAAATTCATCACATTGGTTTACGAAAATGAGTTGTGAAACGAAAGTGCCAACATCTTGATACATAAATGACCTTCATGTACTTGAGGTCATTTTACACATGAACAAACAACCAATTACAAGCAGAGATCGATAATAAGAACGCTAGCATGAATGGTCGACCATACTACCAGAACTTGGTGATTGGTCATTATTCTACATACATGAGCGAAACATGCTGCACCAGACTAAGATCCAAGAGAGCCCCCAGCTACTTACTCAGATAGTCTCTGTTGTTGGTGATGGGATCCAAACAAGATGATTTTTAGGGAAGAAATGGCACACTGGAGAAGAGGCACCGGCTTTGATTCACGGCAGGCCAAATACATTATGGTTAGGGACCCAATCAGAAGTGTCCATGTGGCATACAGCCATAGCTTCCACCTTATCCCCGTTCTCACCTTGGTGTCTTTCTCAAAATGATGGCAAAAGAAAACTGCATAAGGATAAGCCAACGGATGGCAAAAAACCATTTTCGAAGCCAAAACTTCTTTAGGCTCTTCCAAAATATAGTTTTGTGTGATGGAAGTTGATGTTATGGGGTGTGTGGTTGAGAGAATGTTGAAGCGAACTCCAGCACCAATGATCTTGGTAACAAAATCTGTCATTGACTCAACAGAAGTGGCACAGAACTTGGTCTCCCCATTGATGGGTTTCATCTCACATTGTTCGAGTGCATATGCCATGTTGTTTGCGTCTCGAGAACCTTGTGGGATTGAGAAGAGTTGAAGAAGCTGTGGGAGTTGTGGTGTCGAGAAAGGAATGGAATCTGCCACATCTTTAGGTAAGAAAGGAGAATGTTCTTGGTTGGGAAAGTTGAGTGGCATTATCATACCTTTGTGTAAATCATCAAATGTGAAAAATCCTTGCCTGGATGCCTCATTGTGATCCATTGGAGACGATGAATGTGTATGCATATGATGGTGTTCGTGGCCCTTTGATGTTGACTCTTGTGAGTGTTTGGTGTCGAATGAAGGTGGATTCACACGCTTATGATGTTTACACTTGGTCCCAACCTTTTCTTTTGCGCTTTGTGTAGAAATGTACGCGGTTATGTATGGCGCTTCGACTTCTTTCGGCTCTTTTTTGCCTTGTGCAGAAATGTACCCAGTTATGTAAGGTACTTCAACTTCTTTTGGCTCCTTTGTGTCTCGTGCAGAAATGTATCCAAGTATGTAAGGCGCTTCGACTTCTCTTGACTCATGTGCTTCCTTGGCTCCATAGTTGGTTATGTAATTAGGCCTCTGATTTTTCTCATAGCTCATTACATAGGGAGTCTCAACTTCTTTCGCGCCTTTTTTTAGTTCCATAACCCATTACATAAGGAGTCTCAACTTCTTTTGACTCATGTGCTTCCTTGGTTCCATAGTTGGTTATGTAATTAGGGCTCTCATTTTTCTCATAACTCATTACATAGGGAGTCTCAACTTCTTTCGCGCCTTCTGTGATTCCATAACCCATTACACAAGGACTGTTTGGTTTCATAACCCATTACATAGGCAGTCTGAACTTCTTTTGCGCCTTCTTTGGCTTCGTAACTCATTATGTAAGGCGCCTTAACTTCTTTTCTGCTTTCTTTGTCTCCATAATTAGTTAAGTAATTAGAACTTAGTCTAGTTATGTAAGGCACATCTGAAGACTCCTGTAGTTGAAAACTAGTTATGTAAGGATCATGTGATTCTAAAATTAGTGTTGTGTAATATGTAGTTGCAGCATTTCCATGCTTTGTGTAGCTCCATGTTTAAATACATCTCTTGCTCCATTGGCATGACGACTGTACATCTAAACTTACAAATAGAAAATGAGATTTTATATGTTTCTTATATTTGAGATTAAACTTTGGCTGTATATTGTAATATTTTTTTTTTTTTTGTTGAGAAAGTAACCATACATTGTTTTAAAATGGTTAAGGAAAATTTATGAGCTGCAATATATTAACCACGGGGGGAAAAGTAAAGAAGACGACAGTTACAGTTATAAAATTGTATGCAATAAAACTTCCTAATAGTGTGATACTCTATAAAATGATAACCTCCTTGTAAGCATAAGAAACCGAAAGTTATATATAGAAATAAACTTCACAGTGTAATAAGTTGTAATTTTTCTAGGTCCATCTTGGAAACTTATCTCTACATAGTAATAATTGTCAATAAGTTTAAAAATATGAATGCCACACATAAAAGTTTTAGATGAACTAAAATATTTCTCTAGAGGTTTTTTATTTATATTTTTTTTTTGACTAAATGTCATGAAAGTTACATAATTTTCCCTTTCTTAGAAGTGGGATCCACCGTGCTACACCTATAAACATATATGAAAGAAGGCTAATGCTAGGAAGACTAATTTGCAAACTAAATAATGTGTCATCAATAGGAATGAGCACGTTTATCAACGCTTAGGTAATAATCTAATTATCAGCCTCCATGTTATCTAGTTGACTAATATTTTTTTTTACAAATTTAGTCTCCTTAACATTACCTATGAAAGAAATACTACATATATATTGGGCTCAAGTTTCTAAAAGACGCTAGGCACTAGTCGGGCGGCCGGTTGGGGCCTAGCGCCTAGGCGGCTAAACGGGTCTTAGGTGGACTAAGCGGATTTAAGTAAATTTAATATAAATTCTATAAATAAGTGTCTATTTATACTTAAAAAACACACATAATCATATTGGGATACATAAATTGCAAAATAAAATGACATATAAATTATAAAGTATTAGAACATATTGAAAATATGGGGAGCAAGCATATAATGAGTGTTCATCCAAGTATTCAACAAGTCTCTTATATTTTTGTTGACTCTAAAAATTACAAAACCTACGTGGCGCGCAAGCCGAGTAACTAATGAGCTAACTAAGTCCTTCGGTTGAATGCGGGGCGTGCCAACTCGTCGGCCGAGCTCGGCCGAGGAGTAAAATTTGATGTTGTCGCGTGGGGTGCACTGTTGACTTCTGTATCTTGCGATTGCGACCGAGGAAGGAACGCTCTCGGCCTCTGGGTTCTATAGCCTGAAGACAAGGCTACTAATTCTACAGAGTTCACAAGTCGTCGGAACCTGATTCGGTCACTGTGATTATATTCGTAAGAGTATAAGCACGCCGAATCGAGACCAAACTATATGGGCACAGGTACTCGAGTGTGATATATGTCTTGATGGTAAACGTAGTTCGGCCGTTGGAATGCCGAACCCTGAAGCTTACTTGCGAGTATCCAATCATAAAACCACTCGGCGTCCAATGTGCCGAGCAATGCAATTCGTAACACCCTACTATGCCGGAAAGGTTTAATAAGATGACCTCTACCAACAAGGGCTCGAAAACCCTTCTCGGCTGAGACTTAGATAGATAATCGGTCAACCTCGACGCAGTGCTGTTTATCCAAACTGAAGGTGCTCATCGGTCGGCTGATTCTGCGGCAGCAGTGCTGTCTATCCAAACTGAAGATGCTCGCCGGGTGCTTCCACAGTGCTGTTTATCCAAACTGAAGGTGTGTCGGCAGGGAAAAGAAAAGGAAAAAACCTCAAGGTGTTTGAGAGGTTTTGCGCAGGGCAATTGTATGCTGAGTTGAAGGGGTTTTCTATTACGTGATTTCTTGTATTTATAGCACCCCATTCCTTGAGATCAATTCACGTTCTGATTCGGATTGGGAGTCCTTGTCCCATTTCACCTCTAACTCGGACAATCCGACTCCTACTGGGATTCTGAATTTTCCTCCCTTTTTGGGGCTTTATCCCTTGCTGGTCGAGAATCCTGGTCGCACCAGGATTTCCTCGACCTTTCCTATTCATCTGGACTACTTAGGATAGGATCTGGCCGACCCTGCCAGCTGGCCCAGGTTTCATTATTCGGCCCATAGTATTTGTCATTACCTTGGGCCTAGCATATCCTGCTGCTCGGCCCAATAATAATATTTCGGGCCCAAACATTGCCCCCTCGGTTCTGAGGTCGCCGACTGTTAACTCTTGGTCGGGCCTCGGCCTTGAAGAAGCGAAAACGTTTATTGCTTTTTTGGACTTTACTTCTTTAATGACTAATATTCCTGTACATTTATGAAACATGATTGCACTTTCCTCGTTGGCCCCAACGCGTGGCCACGTGTCGATTCTTCGCTGCTCTTAAAAGCTTTCAATCATGAGCCTCGAAACCGTGCACTAACTGAAACGCCTTATCCTCATTAATGCATTAAAACTGACGCCGCACGCAATCGTGCGTCTTGGATTTTCGACTCCTCGATTCCATTTTCGCAGGTTTCCAAAATATCCGAAATGATTGCAGACTTTCCCGGTTACCTTTCCCCCCAATTTGAACCAACGCTTTTTGAATTCCAGTGCCTTTCGAAATTCAGGCGTTTGATCTTCAACCTGAAAAGCCTATAAATACCCACACTTTAATCTATTCGCCTCTTACGCCTTCAGAAATTCCAAAATCCCTCGCTCGTTCAAACCAAACCTTCTAGTCCTTCCTTCTGCAATATTTTCTCCAGTTCTTCCTCCTGCAATATTTCCTCCCAACACATCTCTCTTCTCCATAAATGGCCTCCTTCATTTCGAAGCTTTCCGATGAGATCAACAAGTGCAAAGACTTCATCGATCGGAGCGCCGTCAAGACGCTGCGATTTGAAGAAGACATGGCCACCACCCACCAGATTCTGGGTCCCCTCTTCAGAGACGTAGTGCCGTCGTCTGTTACTGACCTGCTCAAGGAGCAATGTTTAACACCCCTGCTGCAGGGGTTCGACTGGTCGAAGTGGACTCTGGCGCGGCCTCAGGGAGCCTGGCCCTCGACCACCACGGCTTGGGCTGCCTGGGTCGACCGGATGAGCACATTCTTCTCCAAGGAGTGGAAGGCTCTCGGCATCTATGATGCCATTATTCTGTCAACCATGGAGATTGCCATGGATAAGGAGCTGCTCCTAGCGGCCCTGAGTTTATGGTGTTCGGCCACCAACACCATGGTCTTGCCTTTCGGTCCCCTCGGCCCCACAATCCTCGACGTTTCGGCCATCCTTGGGACTTCCCCGACCGGCCTTCCAATTGACGCCGCCCTTTCTGGATACCCTTCTCCTCTCGACCTGAAGGTGCTATTCGACGAAAGGGCCGTCGAAACGTTGAGCCGGGGCGATCGAGAGCCTTCAAGGGAAGAAGTTCAGAAGCTCCACAAGAACTTCTTCAACTACAACACTCTCATTCTTCATTTCGCCGGCCGAGGCGAGGAAGGCCTTAGGAAGGGAGAGCACGAGGCCTTCCTCTTCTACTGGTACAACAAATTCATCTGTTGTACCAGGTCAAACAAGTGCCTGGTGGAGAACATGCCGGTGGCCCAGGCACTGGCCAATGGTCGCTCACTGGCGCTCAGTCCAGCCATACTCGCCAACCTCTACCATTGCCTGGCTGAGGCGACCATTGGCAAGATTGACCCGCACCAGAACGGACCCCTCTGGGTGTTCCAACTCTGGTTGCAGGTCTACTTTTCCACCCTTCGACCGGAGGTTCCTCCCTTCGACCGAACGGCCGCCCTCGGCCTTCAACTGGCCTCTCGACCGGCGCCTCCGCACCGAGCTGACGAAGTCTTCAAACACTTCCTCAGCCTCGACGTCCTCTCGGATGACGAGTTCCTGGTGTGCCGGCGCCAGGAGTACCCGTCCTCACTCAGGCTTCCTACGGCAGCATGGGCCGCGTCCGAGGATGCGGACATTCGTCAGCGCTGGGGGTCGTTTGTTTTGGCTCGCGACCTTTCTCTGGGTTGCGATGCCCGCCGAGCTAGCTGGGAGGTCTACCACCCCCATTTTGTCACCCGGCAGCTCGGCTACCTTCAAGGCAGCCCCGTCCCCCTGCTCGCTTCTCGGTCACTCCTGAGTCGGGGGCGTCTTACCGGTTCCTCTGAGAGGGAGTGCAAGACGTCCGACCAGGAGTTCCAAGAGAAGTGCAGGAAATTCCGGATTCGGCCGGCGGTTCCTGAATCTTTGGGAACCGACACCTTCTGGGACTGGTGGGAAGAGTATACTGGCGACTTCTTCGGCGCCCCGGCCGAAGATCTGGTGAAGAAGATCTTTGGCGACTGTCCCAGGTCGACGTCCTCGGCTCAACCTAAGGAGCCGGCCCAAGGTAGTCTTTCTGCTTTTCTTCTCCTTTTTTCCTTTTATCACTTGATCCTTGTTACTAATTACTTCGCTCTTCAGGGAGTCGCGTGCCGAGGAAGGTGGAGGTGGTCGCCGCGGTGGCGAAGGCGAAGAAGTTGGTGACGAAGACCATCGCCACCGAGCGGGCAGTTCCGGCCAAACGCCCCCACCGAGAGGCCGAGTCGGAGGTT